CTAAGTGAAAGAGTAATATCCCTCAGTTAAAAATTATTTGCATGAAGGATGTCAGTAACAAAACTTCTTGGTTGCAGTTTTTCTTATATTATTTAAGCAAAAATCTAATTACAATATTAAGACTAAGGTATCACAATTTAGTAGAAATTATCTTTTGGAGACAGCTTCTTCAGCAAATATTGCTGGGAAAACTAGGTATCTACCTGCAGAAAAATGAATCTAGATTCATGTCTTTCACCCTGTACAAGTATCAACTCAAAGTGGACTATGGACCTTAATATAAGCCCTGAAATTTTAAAGCTAGAGCAGGAAAGAGCAAGGCATACACTGGAATTAATAGGCACAAATAGAACTCGAATAGAACTCAAATGGCTCAGCAACTAACAAAAAGGATTGACAAATGGAACTACATGAAATTAAAAAGCTTCTGCATGACAAAAGAAAGTGTCACCAGACTGAAAAGGCAGCTCACAGAATGGGAGAAAATCTTTGCCAGCTATACATCTGACAAGGGATTAATAACCAGAATACAGGGAGCTCAAAAAACTAAACTCCCCGCAAAAATCAATGATCCAATGAAGAAATGGGCAAATGAATGGAATACAGCCTTTTCAAAGGAAGAAGTTCAAAAAATATATGAAGAAATACTAAAAATCTCTGGCCATAAAGGAAATGCAAATCAAAACCGTGTTAAGATTCCACCTCACTCCTGTTAGAATAGCTATCATAAACGAAAAATGTTAGCAAGGATATGGGGGAAAAGGAACCCTCATAACACTGTTGGTGGGAATGTAAAATAGTGCAACCACTACAGAAAACAGTATGAAAACTCCTCCAAAAACTAAAAATGGAATTACCATATGATCCAGCAATACCACTCCTATAGCTATAGAAAAAGTCAAGATGCCCCACTACTGATGATTAGGAAAATGTGGTATGCACAATGGAATTTTACTCAGCCATAAAGAAGAATGAAATTTTGTTGCTTGCAGATAAATGGATGGAACTGGAGAACATCATTTTAGTGAAGTTAGCCAGGCTCAGAAGGCCAAAGGCTGTATGTTTTCTCTCATCTGTGGAATATGGACCTTAAATAAAGCAATATTATGAAAAACACAGTCACACCAAGGGAAGGTCATGTATGAGAGAGGGAGGGTAAAAGAAGAAAGTTAAGAAGGTGAAAATGGTTGATGAGAATGTAGAATTTTTAAACCTGTTGAAATCACCTAAGGGGACTAACGTAGAAAGGAGAAAAATAGAGGGGATGAACCAATTCGGGTTTTAATAAATATATACATGGAAATGTTACACGGAAACACCCTGTACAGCTATCTTAACCAAACAAAAATGCCATTTTTAAAATAAAAACAGGTCCTTTCTGGGGGATGTGTATCAGGAGTGGGAAGGATATAAGGAAAGGGGGTCAGAAGGTGAATAGGTAGAAACAGTCTGTACACATATATGTAAATGGAAAAACGAGACCTGTTCAAACTATTCCAGGAAGAGGGGATAAATGAAAATGATGGAGGGGGTGAATTTAACTAGGATATACTATAAGAAATTTTGTAAATGTCACAATGTAGCTCCAGTACAACAATAATAAAAAAACATATAGAAAAAAGAAATTATCTTTTGGAAGTATGGGTAACTATACTGACTCAATGAAACACAAATTAATTCTCTTTGCGATAAGGCATCATCACTTATTAATACGATTACTGAAAAAGCTAAAATTAATTGTAGAAGCTAACACAGGAATATCATACTTTTAATTCTGTAAAATTCAGTGAGATTGAGGTTTTATAGGTTAATAAACAAAAATGGTTTGTAATATCTGAGATATTTTACCAGCATCCCCACCTTAGTAATCCAAGTACCCAAGTCATTGGAAACCTGTAACATTTTGCAGGATTTGTAGAAAAATTACAATATGAGTATTTTAATTATGTGGATTTGTAAGTACTTTCTACTAAAATTTGTCAGAAAAAAAATGCTGTTGCTATCTGCCCAAAATATCAATAGTATCTTTGCATTAAATATATGGCTCTAAAAGCTAGCTAACACTCTTACCACCTCAGAAGCAGCAAGAAGTTCTTTAATTCATATTCTGGAGAAGCTTCAACAGAATTCTGAAATTCTCAAAGTTCATCACGTAAGATTGAAAAGTTTTCTACTTCAATTCTCCAAGTTTTCTACTACTCAATTTCTGCTTCAGTTCTTGAAGTTCATTGTGTAACATTTAAAAGTTTTCTACTTAAATTCGATCTACTTTGATTATACAAATTACAAATAAACATTCTCAAACGTAACTCTACACTTATAAACTAGACGAATAACTTAGCAGCAAGAATGAAAATCAAATTAATTGTAGTTTCAATAAAATAGAGCACTGAATTATTGCTGGAAGTTGTTTTTCAACTTATTTTGATTGGGCTTTTTTTTGGGGGGGCGGTGGTGGGAAGTATCCTGGGGACCAGTCCCAAGGCCTTATGATGAACAAAATACCCAGCTTCATGGTTCTCTCATTTTTAAACCTTTCATTTTCAGAGGGGAGTCATTCCATTTTAGTAGCATTTGGGGACTTGGTGAGAAGCTGAGCTCTGAAGAGAGCTTCCAACTTTCTCCAATTACAATTATAAGCCACTTCTTCAACCCAAACATTAGCTCTCTCTAATTCTAGACATCCCAATCCTGTCCCTAATGACTCTTGGTGGGATATTAGAAGTTCCTGTGCTACAGAAATAATATCTCAGTTCTCATTTGTGTTTAACATGATAATGATTAGTTATGGAAATATTTAAGTAGTTTCAGAGACTCTTTCTAAAAATAAGTAAATAAATACCTTCTTGAAAACTTTTCTTTATTAGAGAATCTACCCCAAGTGTTGAAAATTTGAAATCACTCTATTTACCAAAACTGGCTAACAAGAAGCTTCATAAAACATCAAGAAACAAACAAACAAAAACAACAACAATCATTAAACACCTACACTTAACATTCTTAATTATGGGGCAGAATTTTAAGAACTATGTTGATGCCCTTGTAAAGTAAATCCCTTTCTTCAATGATAAAAACACATTCTCACATTTAACACATTGTTTTCATACTCTATATATACACATACAAAAGTTGGAAGGCCTGTCTTAAAGCATGTCTATAATGAATAATATTGCACAATAAAATCTGAGTAAAAATTTTATTCCAACAACATTTCTCTATTTTAAATCATGTTTATTGTTTAAGTTTTTGTCACAGTGGAGATTAACTTATTTTTAATCATCCAGTCAGTGCTTCCTGTCAACTCCATCAAATTCCAAAAAAAGGAAAATCAACTCATTCATACACTCTAAGTACTGTTACCATCCCACCATTCATTGCCTGTGTCTTTTTCCCCTTTTAACGGCAATATTGTGGTAAGATTGTGAAAAGGTATAACTAATAGGCTTATATGTATAATACCATTTCTTCAAGTATTCAGAGAGCAGTGCATTTGTCTGTACATAAGAAAACTATTGTGACATTTGAGAGTGGCTCCTGGTGGGAGTGTAATGAAGTTGTATGTCATAGTGTATGACAAGGATTTATAGCATTCTAGAATTTTCACAACTCTTTCATATTAGTGAATGACATTAACTAAATGTTGTCTTTTTATACTCTCAGCTGTCAGACATGGGATTTCCAAATATAAATAAATAAAGCATACACTCAACATGTGTAGTGCAAATGCTAGGTAAACAGAATGACATGAAATAAACTTATAGTTGCCACTGAGGGAATGGTTCAGCAGAGAGGACCTGATTTTACAATGACTGTTCAACATGAAAACTGTAACTTTTCCATGTCAGCCACAATGACTAGGAAAGGTTGCTGAGTTGGGGCTGAAGGAGTGAGAAGGGAAACAGGAACTCATTCATACAAGCAGAAGGAGCAATTTCTCTGTCACTTCTGTATTTCTTGAAAAGTCTGATTTGTTAACAGAACCTCAAACCTTTGCAGACAAAACAGATACCAATAAAGAGAACCAGAAATGTTCCATTTGGAAGAATTAAATGTTGGCACCTATGTACTGTAGACTGTGTGTCATGGACCATACAAGGGACGAAAAGGATGATGTTTTAAGATTAAAATTTCAAAATTTACAGCATGGGAAAACCAATAAACAGTTACAGAAACATTTAAGCCACAGCCCTGTTTAAAAATGCCACATAACCAATAATCTTTAGTCCTGTGAACAAAAGTCAGAGCTTTGTTGCTTTGTCTTAATGTTTGCATTTGCATTTAACATAATGTCACTTGGTAAAATAAAGGAGGAAAAACTACAAAATCCTTCCAGAGGAAAATTATTGGTAGGGGGGAAACAAAAAATGTCATAACCAATTTATACATTTACTTAAGTGTTTTCCACTAGAAGTGTCCACAGTCTGTAAGAAACGGACAACAAAGACAAAAAACAAAACAACTATAATAAATCAAAGTACAAAATCTTTGCCATTCATCTTTTCATTTCTTCCTCTGCATTCAGTGTTGAAGGAAATATTGTTTCATGGTAATGCTCTGAGTTCATACATGTTAAATGCCAGAAGAGAAACATTTGGATCCTGTCTCTCTCCTTCATTCCTGAATGTGTTACACCCTCAACAAATATAACAAGCAACCAGTGAAAATTCTCTAGAGTAGGAGATACATAGTCAAACACACACACACACACACCATCTTATTAAGACAAAAAAAAATAGTACCAGTGTGTGTGGGGAGTATAGGGAAGGGGTGAATGAAGATGAATAAGGTAGAAATATAATGTACTCATGTATGGAAATGAAAAAATGAAACCTGCTGAAAATAGTCTAACAATGGGAAGGAGGGGGATAAAGGAGCATGATGAAGGGGGTGATTTTGACTAAGATATATTGTAAGCACTTTAGTAAATGTCACAAGGTACCCCCAGTAGAACAATCTGAATTTTCAAAAATTCTTAAAATGATAAAAAAAAAAAAAGAAAAGAAACCATTCCTTATCTGAGACACATACACATATCAAGACTTAAAACTAAAGTCTGACACGGTCCCTTAATTGTTTTAAATAATTAAGGCTTCTAAAATTCAGTGTCAACTCTGCATCAGTATTTGAATAAAATACATTTTTGCATTTTAGGTTTGTGCTTTTTACAGCCATCTTAATTCCAAAGAATTTCATTAGTAAGATCTGATAAGGGAGTGTTAAAATTGCTTACTAACATTTTACTTTTAGTAGCTGTTAGACTAAATTAGAGTGATCCAAATTCAGTGACTGAAGGGGTTTGTTTCCATTCTCTCAGCTGTTGGCTCATTTCACCTTCTTCTCATGTTTGATATGGCCATTTCTTTTGTATTGGCCATTCAGGATCCCATTGTGGTAATGTCCATTAACTGTGCTAGGCTGATTTCTAGACCACAGACTTTTGATTTTTCTGTAGATAAATTTTGTCACGCAGGACAGGAGGAAGTAAAACAATGCAGCACTGAGCAAAAGCACAAAGGCAATATCCAGTAAAAAATACTGACAGAAAGATATTTGATGGACAGCGGCACGGAGGTGATGGGCTCCGTTGTGGCGAAGAATGTAATCTATCCAATAGATAGTTCGATTGACAGGGTGGCCAGGTTGATCCTTGTGAATTTCCGACAGCTTCTGAGCCCTCTGCCGGTAGCTATGGAGTGGGGGCCAACACAAAAAGATCATGAGTGTATAAGGTTTCTGTATTTGTGGGCGTCTCAATTTAACAATGGGGAAAACAATAATAAACAACTATCTTTTATTAAGCATCCAGTATGTTCCAGGCACTAGAACTGTTACTGCTTCAAACATACGGTTTTAACCCAATAAAATACACTTCAAACTGGTGAGGAAAACCAAAAGCAGAGATACTAAGTAACCTGAACATGGCAACAAGGGTCATATTCAGATTCAAGTTCTTCTGATTGCAAATCTTATGCTATTTGCACAACATATCACACATAGCCCTTCTCTCCAGAAGCTATTAAACACTATTAATCAATGAGACTCAACCAGGAAGGGAAATACATTTTTTAGATTCTAAAACAAAAGGATAGAAAAAAAATGTAGAATTTTGTCCCAACACTGTTTTTTAAAGCCATGGCATTTATTTTTTAATTTAAAGCAACATTAAATAATGGTGTGAGGATATCAGATGAAAGGGGTTGAGAATCACTACTATGAAATCACATACATATTACATGTAACATCATGTAACACATACATACATATAGACGAGTATATCACTGTATACAAATGTACAAAGAAAATGCTTTCTTACATGGTTAATTTTTAAAAAGACAAAGTGGTAAATATAATGTAAACATTTTATTTTAATTTAAAAAGATGTAACTGCACATTTTGGGACAATCTTTGGCAATCGGCCAGAACCCTTTTGAGCCTAGTTCTTGGATTGAAGTTTACATTGTTTCGATGTAAGAAATAGGTTCAGCCTGGAGAGATTATAAACTATATCATGGAGGATATGGTTTCTGAGTTGTAATTTACAGAGGAACAAAAGTAGTGGTAAAAACCTGGCAGGCTAAGGGAAAAGTGTGAAGTAATCCATAACAAAGGGAAAGCAAGAACATGCCCAATCTGTAGTACAAGGGATGTTTGGCTAAATTGGATGGGATGTAAGTGAATCTCGAGGGTGTTCTGAGTGACAAAATATGTAGCTTAAATCTCAGGACAAAGGAACCATGAGACCAGAGACATTGGTTGTTAAACTAGAAAGGAAGATACTGGCAGCGGGAAGACCATGCAGAAGGCTACATTAATGTCCCCATGATGGTAGTGAAATCAGCCAGATAGGAAAATGGTGCAATGAAAGAGGTGGCAGGAAAGGGTGAGACCCCAGGTTAAATGTCAAAGGAAAAGGGTCAGAAGTAATGTAACATTTCCAACTTGGATGACTTACATGGTAGAGTCAAATAAAAAGATACAGGAACAGAACATAAGTCATACAAGGGGAATCAAGGATAACTTGTTTAGACCTATACACGAATCTTTTAATAAATACGACTGAACAGCTGAAAATGAGCAGAGGGCTGTCAGGACTCACAGAAAGAGCAAGCCATGTCTACCACTTGCAGGTTCTTTCTACAGATATCTAGGATGAGAGAAGGCAACTTTTAAAAGCCACATTTTCTCTCTCATCAATGCTTCACATCAACATTACTGCTATGTAAACATTCCACATACTAGAACAGTATAAAATCTCACCCAAATATTAAGGGGCCATCCTCACCTTGCTTTGTAATTTATCATGGTTTCTAATAGATGGCAAAATGGAAATGAGAAACTTTCTACTTCTTTATGTTACAAAAAATCCTTACGGGATAAAAGGGCATCTTAAAAATACAAAAATGAAACATACTGTCTTAGAAAATAAAACTCAGCCTTCTGTTTCTAACAAAGGTGAAAGAGGATAAAAACAATTTTTGTCTTCAGGTGCCTTAATTTCATTGTGTATATGATCTTTCCCTAGGGATGACGAAGCAGATTACATCTGATAAGGATTCTTTTGTGGGGAATCTGATTATTTGTACTGTTGAGTAAATGCCCACTTCAAAGATTCATTTGGTCTTTGATCACTACTTATCACAAGAGCCCTTGACCATCTCCCTTAGCTTATCTGAGTACAGAATGAAGATGCTCATCAACCAGATCCCTGCTCCTTTTAAGGAGCAAAGCCACAAAGTGGATGCTTACTAGTCAGTCTGAGTTTGTCTGATGTTTCTATTCTGAGGTCCCTGGTTCAACTGGAAAGAAACTGGAGACTTTGCAGGTAGATGTTTGAAGGGAAGATTATTTTCTATAGCTGGAAATGTTAAGTGGCACTTTTAGAATAGTTTGCTTACAGTGCAAAATCCTTACCAGAAAAAATATGAGACCAGGAGCTGATGGATCACATTTATAATCCTAGCTACTCGGGAGGCAGAGATAAGGAAGATCATGGTTTGAAAACAGCCTGGGCAAATAGTTGATGAGAACCTACATTGAAAAAACCCATCGCTAAAAAGGGCTGGTGGAGTGGCTAAAGGTGTAGGTCCTGAGTTCAAGTCCCAGTATCGAAAAAAAACATGAAGATTGCAAAATGTAAAAAAGTCAATAGTGTGATTTAAATGATCATTCATACCACCTTTAAACTATCCCAAGGAATCTCTTAGAGAAGCCTCCTTGTAATAACAACAATTACCTTGTAAGAGGCAATTACAGCACATTACATTTTTAAAAAGTATGACTTCTAGTGAGAGTTGATCTCAGGTTAGGTATGTGATGTTTCTATCACCAAATTCTCATCTTTCTTCATAACTTGCCTTAAAATAATAACATCTTCAGACTCTAAAGAATTCTCTCAAAGTAAGAAGAGTAATGGGCTTTCATTAAATAAACCCAAAGGATGAATAAGGGAAGAAGTAAGATATGTAATATTATTTAAGTAGTGGATTTACAACTAAGAAATACTTCTTTAGAAGTATTGGTTACTTGGCTTAAACTAGAATATCTTGGAAGGCAGCCACGCTCACTATTATACCAATGCCTCCCAAGTAGACTATCTTGGATACAATGTTAGTGAAGCCAATTATGCTTTCTAAATTAATTAATAAATGTGAAACATTACCAAATTTAAAACAAAAATAGCTTCAGTTTATAAAATGACTTTTAGCAAACAACATACTACACAAGACATTGTCTTTTCTACATTGAGTAAGACAACTTTCTATCTAGCTATACTTCAAGACTCTGCAGCCGGGATTTATTTAATTACTATGTAATCTAATGCCTGATCCCTCCCTTGATTCAGCCTGGCCCATAACTCAGAGAACCCAGCTAGATTAGTCTGAGTGTGTAGCTCAATGGTACAGTGCTTATGTCACATGTGCAAAGTCCTGAGTTTTATTTCCAGCACCACGAGAAGAACAAAAAAAAAACCTAGCCGAACTAACTTTGTATAAATACCCAGATTTTTTTTTCTTTTCTATATAACAGCAATTTTCCCACCCAAAAAACTCTCCTTCAAGATTTTAGAAACTTACATTATATTATATATATATTTTTCCCCTAGGAACAATATTTTGAGATGTGCTAGACCTAAAATGGAAAACTACAGATCATAGAAGAGGGATAAACTCAGGCACCAAGGGTCACAGAACATATTGCTCCAAGTACCAGAGCTGTGACCAAGACCTGTGGTCAATTCAGGGGCCAGAGCATGAAGGCCACCTCTGAGCCCATATTAAAGGCAGCATTACAAAACTTAGTTGAATCCAAAATTTTTTTATGCAAGCTGCATCATTTGATATAAAATATTTTTTCTTTTTGTTGGTGTTCCTTAGAATTTAGCAGTGTTTCTCAACCCAGAATTCAGCTATATGCCTGGGGTATAAACAGAAGAATTTACTCTTCTCTTCAATGTTATTTGAAATGCATGATAAATTAAACATTATGTCTTAAAATGGGGATGACTGCTGCTTTGTTTTAAAGCCACACAGACCAGCTCTCTACCCTTGGAGACTCATTTGCAAAGCGGGTTAACTCAGGACACATCAGAATCTAAAAGGCACAATAAAGAGTTTGATCAGTCATTCATGTAACCAAATAAATCTTAGCATTTCAGCAGCACCAGTGACAGGGAAAGCCAGTAGCACCAGGTTTACCATGCAGTACAAAGGGATCTAGCTTGGGGACCAGACAATTCTGGCTTCACATTTTTCTTTAATAGCTGTGTGACTGTGGGCAAATTACCAAAGCTGAGTTCCAAGTGCTTCATTTCTGTAACATAAATAATGAAACTATGATATGTGGCTGTGATGAATATTAAAATGAAATAAAAGACAATGTTTGATACACTGGAGGGACCTAATGATTGTTCCCACTGCTGTTTCTCCCTCAGTTTGAAGATTAGAGAAAGCATATGAAAGGCTTTATCACCAGAATCTGAAGGATGCTCATATGATGGGTTTATTAACAATTATTAACAACTGCCTGCTGATTATACTGTGGTGGTGGTATGTATGCATGTTGGTATATTTAATGTTTCATCTGCCTTCATATTAATTGAACCTTACCTGGGATTATTGATAACTTTCACCAGTGCTTCATACAGCTCTCCTTCAGTAACTGTCTTCCATTCTAGCAATATCCCCATGCCTTTTGCCTGTACCCGGGTCATAGTATCATAATGGTCTCCAAAGAGTGGGATTCCCACTACAGGTACACCATGATACATAGTTTCAAAAATACTGTTCAAACCACCATGGCTCAGGAAGGCTTTGATATTTGAATGCCCTAAAGAAAGATAAAAAAGAAAAAATATTATCACTTCAGATTTTTCAAGAAATGTCTTTAAAAAAGTAAACATATAGCGGCCAAATATTCTAGACATAGGATTTTTAAAGGCCTAATTGTACTGATTCCTCTCTACAGTAATGTATGTAACCTTATATATATAGGTTACATACATAATTATCTGACTTACGTATAATTAATAAAGGTATTTTTAGGTAATTGAAATGTATAGCACTAATCAAGAAAATATATTACAACTTCCTCTGAGACACAAACATCACTTGACTAGCAAAACATATTTAAATGGTCAAAAATGAATAGGAAGCCAATGAAAGCAAGAAAGAACAATCAATCCCAGTATAAGAGATCAACTTTCTGGCTATCAAGCATCATTTATCTTTATTAGGGTCATTTAGCAAAAGAAAATGTAAAAATGTAAGACTGGATTTCAGGAGCCAGCAGAAAAATTTAATGCTTATCCAAGGAGGAATGGTGTATAGTAGCCACCATTTACAATATTCAAGTTCTATCAGCATCCGTGTTTCACAATTTTAGGGTTCAGTTTCACCTTTTAGGCCCACAAACAAGTAAAGACAAATACTCATAAAAATAATTTGTAGGAGATGGGAAACCATATAACAATTAGTTGCCACAAGATTAAAAGAAATAACTTTTCAAAAATTTTAATACTATACTTCAAAACTTTTAGTAACAACCTACATCTCACAAAAGGGATCAAAAATTTGCATAGGAAGTGCAAGAAAAATAATCACTGCACTTAGGAAATGTGTAATTGGTCAAGGAATAATTATAGCTTTCAGAAATACTAATATTTTAATATATACACATCATATGCAAAACTGATTATGTGTGTAAATTATGATGCCAGTGATGCTCTCAGAGCAACCCTGTCCCAAAGTCTAGTAGGGTTGGTGAGTCATGGTTTCTAACCCTTAACTTTAACTAAAGGATCAGCACTAGAAGTAAACGCTGAACTTTCTTTTTAGCAGCAGAACACTTTCAAAACCATGCCACCAAGCCTAGTAGTGAAAAATAAAACAGAGCTGGAAAGAAGGGGATTATTTCAGTGTGTGTGGGGAAACACTAATTTGGTTCCTACTTCTCATCCTGGAGGAATCTTTGATCATAGATGTCATCGGAGGAACTGCAAAGGTCATGCCTAGAGTTTACAAAGGACCCTAATCTTGGAAAAGTCAGAGAGCTGAGGCTGGAGGAAGCCAGAGGAGGCATAGCCTTGAGGATGTCTTCAGGCATGGACCACCAAAGAGTTAGAGTAGCTTCACCTTGCCAGAGGTCACACATGATACAAGTCTAGATGTTCTTAGACAACAGTGTCACACTGCTGCACTGAGACTGCTGATAGTCAGGTTATCTCATTCTATTTAACATTCTTGCTTCTTGCCCACTTTCTATGGAACCCAAAATCATAGCATTAAAAGACACAACAGAAAAAAAGGAAAAAAAATGCAAAATGCAAGTATCATGAAAGGGAAATTGTCTTGTGCTCATTCCTCCTCAGTTTTATCATTTACAAAATAACATTTATAATGAGCTAGATGAAAAGAAAATATATACAAAAAATTATTTACTGTTGCACAGTTACAAAATTAAAATTGCTTTTCAGGAACCACAGTAGCTTTTAGAAACTATGTTTTAAAATAAAAGTATAATTTTAAATTTTACTTGTGTTTTAAGACTATTATTAAAAATTACAGGCATTTTTATATAATGTTAGGTATTAGTATTATTGAATAAATGGTACTCAATATTGCCAAAACATAATAAATTTCTTATAATTTCCTTAATATATATTAAAGGACAACATAGCATTGTGTCGTCCCAGAAATTTAATGAATGAAAATTTTCATTTTTACTCTCTGTGCTTGTTGAACAGTTAAATTATTTGGATTCAAATATACTTAAAAGATACACATATAATAATTGTATTTTAATTTTGAGTTAAATATAGCAAATTTAAATAATTTACAAATTTAAATAATTAAGTGTTTCAAAACTGCCTCGTGATTTAGGAAAAATTTCAGGCAGATGATCCAATTGACGTTGAAATAAATGTACTATTTCTCTGGCTTTCTGCTTCTCCTTGTTTTCAAACAAATTAATAACTCCCAATTTATCTGAGTTCTCAGATACATCTATAATAAAACTGTAACTCAAGTTTGTGTTTTCATTGTTTTTAATTTTACCATTTTTACCCAATTAGCTTAATCATATATTGCTCTAGTCAATGCTAATTTATATAGTTTATTAAGTATATTTTCTAAAATATTAAATTTGGTGACTGGTTTAAAATTTTTAATTGTAAATCCCAATAATTATATTTTACAAATTCTTTTCCAATGAACAAAGATTTGAAATGTTGGTCTGAAATTAAAGAACTGGGATACTAGATAAAAACATAATGACTCCATCACAAATTATACACATAGTTCACAAACCACTCAAGTATAAAAATTATGTTTATACAATTAAACTCTAATAGCCAAGTAACCACATGTCAGTGACTTACCTAGCAGGTCATTTTGTGGTAACCACTCTATGAGCTTAGTGTTGTTTCCTAGATTCTTTGGTTTGGCTCCAGAAAACCTAAAATGTACACCAGAGAATGAATTGTTCAGAAATAAAGCCTTGCTCCTGGTATGAGCTCTCTGGTTAAATGTTTAGATTTACAATTAAGTGTCACATGATCATTTGCTGATTAAGAATAAAATCATGTTTTAGTATCGACAAAAATTTGATCATTTCTTGGTAATAAAAAAAACTTTCATTGACTGAGGGACAGATAAAATATAATTTGCTTGTATAAAGATCTGTTTTCCATCAGCTCTTCTCACCTATACATAGAGATCAGGGGAACCAACCAAAACGAACTTTCACTAGCAGTCATCAACACCAGTACCCAGAGCAGAAACAAGAAGGACTAGTGGGAGTCATAGTAGATGGTCACTAGCCCTAAACCTTGACAGCCAGAACCCAAAAGAAAGTGTAAGTTTTAGAAGAAAAGCAGGAAGCACTGTTCTTTAGCTTGGCCCCACAGAGTGGAACTCTGCAAAGCACAGGACAAACGTAGGCTGTTCCTTGCCCAGTCTTTAAAAGATGAACCTCAAAGGTGCTTAACAGCTAAGAGAATGGCAAGAGTATGAACTGAAGAGACAAATTTATCCTAAATAAAGGAAAATGGCTGCATTCTGAATCACAGCTAAGGAAGCTCAGTGGACTAGAATCTCAAGGGAAAAGTCCTGAACAGCTACAATAAAATATGCATCCATTTCCTAACTCAGCTACCAGTGACAGGCTAGCCGTACGCAGTGTCATAAAGGGAAAGCCTAGATGACACAGAGTACTTGGAAGAGTCCAAAGTCCATGAACTATAAACTATTTACTCATTCATTCATCATTATTGAGCCCATTCCAAAAGCAATTTGGAGTATATGTAGAAAGGCAGGAAATTACAACTAAATTTTTTTTTTTAAATTAGGAACAGAAGAATAAATGAGGATAAAAATTTGAAGAAATCATAAAAATAATCCAACACAGACTAAATCATTCAAATCATATTCATCCTACACTCCAGGCCAGAGGTCTCTTTACTTCTCAAAGACCTCATGAATTAATTTTTAAATTTAAATGCACTGAGAAACAAAAGGAAACCCAAGGGCACCTGGCTAAGCTTGTCAACAAATCGATGTGCTGTGCTTTTCGAGGACCTGCAGGCTGAACAAAGGGATGCTAAAAAAAAAAAAAAGAAAAAATCAACAGCAGAGAAGAAATCTGTTCTACCTTCTTACCTCCAGATCACTTTTTGAGGCAGTCTCCCCAGAGCTCCTGCCAGTTTGTTAGCGATGTCATCTGACAGATACTTTACACCAGCTCCGAAAGATACCAGGACGAAGCCATGTTCTTTAGCACCACTGACCCACCTCTGGAGATCCTATAAATGGAAACATGGACCAAGACCATTCACAGTCAGGTTCATCAACATCCCAGTTTAAGAAAAAGCCTAACATAATTAAGAAGAAGAGCGTATAGTATTTTCCTCTATAGCTGCTTTTGTCTAGAATGTGTAATCTGACAGCACTAACTGAAATAAAGAGGGCATACTTTTGAAAGCTAATCAGCAATGACAACCACCATAAAAAAGAAGGTAATTGCCTAAGATTTCATCACTCAAAAAATTCAAACTAATAGTACGTAAGCAGAGATAAATTTGTGTTGAGGATGTGAACAAAAAGATGTGGATTGGATTTATGACAAATCAATCATACTGGCAAAAATTTATTGATGCATCTTTGACAAATTTTTGCCAGTATGACTGATTTGTATTGAAAATTAAAGCAGTTCATTTTAAGGGTTACCATTCACCGTATTTTATTCTACAGATTTCAGCGAATCATCTTTGCAAATAGTTTTGCCACAGATGTTGAGTTTTAGTTTTTCTTATGAAAACTAACAGTGCTACAGCACTGTGAAGAATATACAGTTTCCCTGCTTGCTCTCCATTGATGATGCCTAGGTCATAAGGTAATCATGAAAACAGGGGCTTGGCCCATGTTCGAGGCAGTATTATGGTGTGCAGAGAGGGTGCTCAGTGCTGCTGCACCAGACCCTATAGTTACCTTGCTCAGGATCAGGGAGTTATTTGGAATGGCTCTGTTACCAATGTATTTTTAAAATTAGTATATATTAATTGTACAAGGGTTTTTTTAGTGATAATTCCATACATACATATGATGTACTTTGATCAAATTCACCTGCTGTACTAATATTAGCTCCTTTCCCCACTTTCAACAATTTTAACTGGTTTCACTATTCTATTTTCACACATGCATATGAAGTAATTCAAACATTCACCTCTCCTTTCTTCACCCTCTCCTTTTGTCCCTCCTCCCACTGCTTCCCATCCCCAGTCTCCCTGTTCTACATTTGTGTCATTCTCTCTCTTTTTTTAAGGTCTAGATTTTGCATATAAGAAAGAACATGTGATGTTTGTCTTTCTCAATCTGGCTTATTTCATTTAACACAGTGATTTTTAGTTCCATCCATTTCCTGCAAACAACATAATCCCATTCTTCTTTATGGCTGAATAATATTCCAGCGTGTATATGTACCACATTTTTTTTATCCAATCACCAGTTGATAGACATTTGGGCAATTCCATAGTTTAGGTATTGTGAATAATGCTGCTATAACCATGGGTGTACAGGTACAGCTATGTATGCTGACTTACATTTCTTCAGATACATGACTAGGATGGTATACCAGAATTATACACCAGTCCTATTTCTAGTCCCTTGAGGAACTCCCTTACTGATTTCCATAGTAGCGTCATTAATTCTACACCAGTGTATAATAGGTCCCTTTTCCCCAGGTTTTGCATTTTACAGCACTTTCCAGCATAACCTGACTTACAGTTCCTGTGCAGTTCTGCATAATGAGTATTATTACAGTGGCATCACTGCTCAGCTTAATGAAATGTTAGATAAATTTGCTTTTTTATCTGTTCCTCTTTTCTTCATTTAATGAGATTTGTATTAACTGGCTCTACTGCACTTATTCTCAGCAAGGGAAGAGAGGGACCACATTTTTATGCCCCCAATGAATTGGTGAATTGTGGCACTATTTTTACTAAGAGTGATGGGGAGAGGAAGTTTATGCACCTAGATATCAAGGAAATTATGCTACAATTATTTGGTAGGAAAAAAATCTTATCAAAATGCAATATTTTCTAGGAAAGTAAAAATATGCAAAAGAAACAAAGGCGATCTTAACTTTAGTCTAAAGCTATTAACTTATATTCTGTTTCATTTACCAAGCATATCACATATGCTGAAAATTTAATCATATTATCTGTGGGTTCAAAGTAAGAAACAAGATCAAGTCTATTTTAAAATTTAATTTTAGGCACAGTCTAAAGACAGATGTACTTAAAACAAATGCAAATGCTGCATGTAGAATTATTTGAACATATGGGATTTACCCTATAGTTTGTCTTCAAATAATTTGTCACCTAACACCTAATTCTCTAAAGCTTGTAAGTCAATTATTCAAAAAAAGTTTATATTCAGATACATGAGGCTTTATAGTAACGTTATTTAAATGGTCTTTCACAAAGACTTAAAATGTGAGATTCAAAGAAGTCCATGCAATAAATACTTTTTAAAATTTTTTGCATGATGCAAAATGAAATCCATATGCCAACTTTTCCAGCCTTTCCTACCAAGTAATAAGAATATATTTAAGCATTTACCCTTTACTGCTATGTAAGAGAGTAGAAAAAAATTATATTCACCATGATTTTATTCAAGAAAAGTACTCAGTACTTTCAGAAAATAACTCCACTTGGCTTAGAAGAGAGAGGCCCAAGGTGATACTCAAATGACTACTTCCTGGATGGAAGTAAAAGAGATGAGGGGAAAGGCTGGAGTAGAGATAAGGAGCCAAAGGACACCTGAACATAAACCCCTTCCCTATATGATCTCCAATCTCCAGCCAAAGTACACAAAGTGTTCAGTGTTACAGAGGTTTTCAGGGACACTGAGGGTCAGGTTTTGGATCTGGCTGGCAATGGTAGTGTGGAGGAGGTAAGAACAGATTCACAGTTAGCACTGAAGGATTGTTCTGCTGAATGGTGGGCAAAGACTTTGGGATTGGAACATCATGAAAAATATGCCAATGAGCTGAGAGGCACTAGGTGGCATCGCTCCTATGTACACATACACAGAGTTATTTTCTGGAATTTAAGCAGCCATCCATTCAGTGGAAAACACCATATTAAGCGAACTAAACCAGGCTCAAAAGGTCAAGGTCGCATGTTTTTCCTCACATGTGGAAGCTGGACTTATAAGTTAAATGTGTATAGAAATACATATATGATCACACACACACATATAGTTAGAGAGATAGAACAAAGTTATATTGGTGATTCTGTCTGAAGGGACTATGAGAGGCAGGAGAAGGAAAGAAAATGTTAGAGACTGAAAAATATTGAAACAACCCATCTATATATCTGAATATAACATAACATACTACACCATAAGCTGTTAAATATTAGGGGCACATGGTGAAAGAGAAAGACTAAGTAATGGGAGACTTAATTTGATTAAAGTATGATGTATACAAGGCTTGAAGTACCAAGGCAAAACCCCCTTGGACTATCAATGTACACTTAAAAAAAATGAAGGGCAGGAAGGTAAAGCAGGTCTTTTCCACTGAGGTGGGTACCAGTGCGGGGAATGGAGTGGGATGTGCACAAAGAAAGGGAGGGTGAGGGTGTATATGGTGGATATATTTTGTAGCCATATATGAAAGTAGAAGAATGAAACCTGTTGAAATTATTCTAAGAAGGGAGAGGGGATGAGGAAGAATGAAGAGGGAACAGTCTAATTAAGATATATGGTTAGCACATATGTAAATATCACAATGTATCTTCCTGTACAACTATTATATGCTAATAAAAATTTTAAAAAGAAACCATTCACTATAAAGTGCAATTTGATTTAGCAATAGCTCCTTTAGCAAACCTTCAGGGTAACTGTGTTCAATGTAAAAAAAAAAAATCCTGATTTCAGAAATTTAACACTATTAAATATACAGTACTTCAGAACTTGCCTTCTTCCAAGAAAATTACAAATTAAAAGATTAAAAATTAATTCATTTACATCAACAACATTCATAAATACTTAAGAAAGAACTTAACTGAAAGGTGTAAAACGTTCATGAAGAAAGCATGAAAACTTTAATAAAGGACAAAAAAAGAAGAACTAAGTAAATGGAGAGAGGTATACATGCCTGGGCACGAAATATTGACATCATTAAGGTGCTAATTTTTATAAAATTAAATTCAATGTATCCTCAGCATATACTCCGAGAAGACAGGTATGGAGCTTGAAAAGATGGGTCAAAACTTCATTCAGAAAAGAAAGTATCAAAAAAGGTCAAGAACATTTTGAAAAAACACAGGCAGAGCATGCTCTCCTGGATTATTAAAGTGAGCCCTGGAGTTCAGAGCCATTGCCATGACCTCTTGCATCTTAGTCTTCATGAAGCAATGAAGACGGCCATAGAGACACTGCTGTGCAGATGTGAACTCAGAATTTTCATCAGTGGGGAAAGGAGTTATCCAGGAACTGATCTCAAAAAAGTATGAAGTTCTGCCCTCCATTAGCACAAATTCCAGAAGGATTAAAACATTAACTTGAATTAAAATGTATGATGTACTTGAAGAAGACACAAAAAATTTTTTTATTGTATTTGAATGGTCTTCTTTAGAGTCAGAGACCCCAGAAGTAACAAAAAAAGAGAAACAGGTATCACTATAGAACAATTAAACTTCTAGAGTATGAAAGACATTTTAAAAAGCAACAGACTAACAAGCAGACTGGCAGAGATATTTACAACTTGTATAATAAGAGGCTAATAACTAAAAAAAACTGTAAGAGGAAAATGAGCACAACTTGAAAAAACAGTTCCCAGAAGAAAACCAAATACCATAAACATAGATGGTAAATCAGAGAAGCACAAATTCAAACTGTGTTCATGTAGCCTACAAAATTCTCAATATACTAGCATTAAAGAATGATTTAGTTCAGTATCTAACTCTTAAGTATTATCTGTTTGCTATTTTCTTTCAAGATTTTTTTTTTTTCTGGAAGGATAAAATGTCTTTTCTTAAATGGCCCCTGGGTTTACTGTCTTATCTAGCTAGCCTTTCCTACTTCAAGATAACTTTCAAGTGGTCTGTATTTTCTTTTTATAATTCAATAACATCAATTCTTTTATGTTTTAAATTCTCACACAATCAGAATTTATTTTGAGGCAAAGAATGAGGCTGGGCTCCATCATTATTTTTAACATATGATTATCTATTCTTCTCAGCATCATTTATTGAAAATTTCATCCTGTCTTCAATGATTTGAAATACCACCCTTTCAT